TCTCTATATCATGTTAAATTTTGAGCGTGACAGTGAGTGACTGGCGGTTACTGTATGGGATCGTGTGTGATAAATTTGTTATAATAAATATAATGTTAGTTGTTTGCAGTTTTAAACATGTTTATTAAATTTATTGCATAATATACGTATATTATGTAATAAATTTAATAAACATATTTAAAATTGCGAACACCTAATATCAAATTTATTATAACTCAAATTTATTATACACGATCTCATACAGTAGCCGCCAGTCATTCACTGTCTCGTCTATTATAAATCGTTCCGAAATTCAAACGCGTCCCGGATATCCGGCACTCGTTTTAGTACCGACTCATATCACCAATGGCGCTGCAAAACGTCCAAGCCAACCTCTGAGTTGCACACCCGCTTATACTGCTGTGACGTTCTACAGCAGAATTATTGTGTTTATGCTGTGAATCTGCTGTTACGTTCTACAGCAGAGTTACTTTGTTTCTGCTGCGAATTGGACGTTAAGTTCTACAGCAGAGTTACTGGTCTCATGTCGCTAAATATGACGACATATACATACAGAATGCAGCGACAGATGCATACGCTTCTGAGGTCATGGCTGGCTGACTATGACACCAGATGCCGTGCATCTGACGTTAGTTTGCTCATAGGGTATATAGATATTGTTTTTCATATTTTGATAATTAAAACGAAATCATGATTTCATTGTATTCCTTAAATACAGAAATTGTTTACAATTAAATAACTATAGCATATTGTTCTTAATCTACATGGATTAATCAGGAACAACGAACGATTACACTTAATCATTTTCAAAAATAAAATGACACACGTACACCCTGTATCTTAATTTCATGACAAAAACTACCATTGTTTAAGCTAACATTTGTCTAGCTATGATGTTAAACTACTAAAACATTTAATTTGCAAAAAATGTATCTAGACACTATAGAACTATTATATCAATATAAAATCTGTGGTATGTAAAATTGGGAATAAGAATATTTAAAATACTAAATAGAATGATGAATGTTGAATACAACTAATATTGTACTTTCAATGTATGTTGAAAATATTGAAAATAATAAAGTATAAACGCATTATTTCAATGTGTACTTTTAAATAGCTAAACATAATATTTTGTTTTCAACATTAATCGATTTAAAACAAATCTAATAAAGTAAAAAATTAAACAAGATATTCCTTCGTATTTCTAATTTAGGTGTGAATATCCATACTTATTACAATGCATTGTCCAAAATTAATACAAATAATAAAAAAATACTTTACATATATCGTAAATCTTGTTTTATAATGAACTACTTTGCAGATGTATTTCATATTTTATACAATAAAGATTCTGTATTAAAATATTATTTAGAAACTTGATGCAAACAAAATAATATTTCACTTAAATATTTTATCCAAGCTTGTATACAGACATTCTCATAAATTACTGTAAATGACCATTTTATTACTTTATTTAATATTTTCATACTCTAATACATTTGAAGTATTATACAATGGTATTACATATTGAACTATTATCATATATATTCTTAATATATAAAAAAGTCTACCACATAGCACGTTGTATGCCACTTAATTTATTATAGTCTGCTAAGTGGCGAAACATAATTCTTGATAGTCTCCACCTAAGAACTACACCGTTTCCACGAGAAGTTAATATGCAACGGTTTCTTAATTGTCTCAGAGCAGACTGACGAGGTATTGTCTCATCTATTTGTTTGCTAACGAGATTCTAAAAGACAAAATAAGAAAATTTTAATTCAGTTATGAATATATAGTAAAAAAAACTCAAAATTGTTATTACGAAATTATTATAACATACTTGAATTTCCTGCGGTAAAATATTATTTCTTTTCATAGCAACTAATCGGAGTCGCATCGGTGCATGTTCTTCTGCTAGCTTTCTTCGTTTCATATCACGAATCATCCATCGATTAATATATTTATTGCGTACTTGCTGAAACTGAACGGCGAATACCTAAATTATGAAACAATACTTTCGTCACGCAGTATAAAGTTACATATGTAAATTGCTATTGTATACAGTACTTCGCACATTTATTCACACTTACACCGCACAATGTAAAGTTTGTGGTTTTTGAAAGAATATTTGTAAATGTTGACAAACTATTCCGTATAGCAGCCATGTTCACCAATGTTCACGGGGTGCTAAAGAGTGCTGAAAGCAGTCAGGGGCCCTGACTCAGGGCCCCTAGTGACCAACCTCTGTGAAGTTAGCCGGACAACTTTAACTTTTTAACGTTTCATTATACCCAATCGATTGGTGGTCGTTTGGTGGTCATTGATGGCCTAATTAGAACATTTGGTGGTCACGCGTTCTTTTGTAATTAAGTGATCAAAATTTAACCGTGAATGTAGCCGACAACTTTTTTTTTCGCCGGATTCAGTTTTTTAAATGCTCAATCGATGCGTAATCATTTAGTGGTCATTGGTGGCCCACTTACAACATTTGGTGGTACTTCGTTTTGTTGTTACTCTCGCCCTCATCTTGTAGCGGCGTACAGCGTAAGCTTCACAAGCGTGAAATTCAAATTAAGGTATATGATTGTAATTAGAAAAGGAGGTAGAAGTGAAGTTGGCATTATTTAAGAGCAACTGAAATCAGTTATTCATCAGTTATATCATTAATATTTGCTTAGGGATGAATGTTTTAACAGTCGAATTTCGCTTTTACTCTAAAATATATTAAATCATGGCAAATATGTTAAACACTTAAAAATTATAAAATGAATAGCTGAAAGAAATGTATTAACAAATCAGGAATTATTTCATAATTTAATAATTATTTTATTGGCTCCTGGTATCTAAGGACATATTGTAATTAACAAGATGTAACAAAAACGATCGTTTTGTAAAGGAGACCATTCCAGTATTGACCCTCGATAAATAAAGACGTGTTTTTCAAATTAAAGTTGTTTAAATTAAGTCCGTTCGTTGTAAACGTATTAAAAAAAGGGCGAAACTTTCAAATACCCCCATGCTCCGAATTAGATGAAATTTTCGGAATAAGTTCTTTTTTGATAAAAATAATGATTGCGAGAAGGATTTTTGGCGACTCGAAAAATTTTTTTTTACCATTTAAGTATCATTCCCTACCTTACCTACATAATTTAGTATGGTAAGCGAACTTTTTAAAATAAATTTAAAAGTTGCCGCCCCTCCCCCAAACTCCCTCCCCGCCAACTGAACTAGCCCCAACCTATTCGGACCACTCTTTTCTTTGGGAATTAAGCCCATTTCTCGTAGCCATTCCATTACTGCTTCGCAATCATTTATTTTTTTGGTAAGAGAAAATAAATTTATATGACTCATTGTTACCCAACAAAACTTCGAATTAATACTAACAAACGACAGCGAAATGAACCACGTGTTGCGTTCTAGCCTCAATATTCCCGATATCTATTAAAAACAATTGAAAATCAGCGGGTTTTGCGTCTTCAACGCCACCTTCATATCTGCCTAGACTATCGCCACGGTCACGATCATGTCGGTAACATAGGGAGTGACACTAAAATGGTAAAAAATATTTTTTCGAGTCGCCAAAAATCCTTTTCGCAATCATCATTTTTGTCAAAAAAGAACTTATTCCAAAACTTTCATCCAATTCGGAGCATGGGGGTTTTCGAAAGTATAGCCAAAAAAAGGTCTTCTCACTTTATATAAAGCAGGCTTGGGTACTTTTGATTTGAAATGAAAACTACAAATGAAAAGAGCCAATATTTATTCCAAATAAAATAACAGCATACATAAGTTTATTTGAAAATAAGGATGTATGCAAATTAATTCCAAAATCTTATTTCAGAAATAAATTATTTCTAAATGATTTATTTGCCAAATATTTGGTTATTTAAAATAATAAATAATAGATTTTCGTATATAATGAATATATTTGACATTGTAAATTAAAAAATATATTGTTTGTTTAAATGTATGGAACACTACATAGATATACATGTTCGTAAAGGCATATTAAAAGTAATTACTTTTTTGTACGCGAACACAAATTCCGACAAATCCGACTCGGAACCTGCACAAGCTCGTTGAAATCGGATGGAACATTTTAGAGTTTTATTTTTATTTTATTACTAATAATTTTATGATATATGTATATATATTGCATATATTTGAAGAATCCTGAAAACGAGTATTAAGGAGCCATTCCACGTGGAAACACACAGAACTGCGATTTTAATGACCGATTTTTTTCGAATTTGCAGCATTTGTTGATAACCACAAGAAACTAAAGTGTGTAAAATTTTAGTTTCTAATCTTGAACCGTTTCCGATCTGATGTTGCGGTCTACAGCAGAGTTATTCTGTTTCTGCTGCGAATCTGATGTTACATTATACAGCAGAGCTACTCTGTTTCTGCTGCGAATCGACTGCAGACAATGTCATACAGTCATGACGGCAGTTGACAGTCAGAATGCAGCGACAGATGTACATGAATCTGACATACTGCCAGAGCTTCCATAATATCAGATGATGTACATCTAACGTCAGTTTGCTCATATACCAGATAATATAAAAACAAGTCAAAAATTTCTGGTCCGGGAAAGTAAAGTTTAACCGTTTAAAGATCAAGGACTTATGGTCGTAGTGAGCAAATTCACTCAAGATGAAAAAATCGCAATCACAGTCGTGAATAAAGTTAAATCACGACCGTGATCGTGATTCGGCGATCACTGTGATAAATCACCATTCGTGATTTTGCACGCCATCTCTAGTTGTCACGTTGTTTTAAATAATAGTTTTTCTTATTCGTTGAGTGTAAATTCTTTTCATGTATGTTTCATTGTTACCATTTTGCATATAATTGTTTTTGTCAGCCAAACTTACAAAGCCAATTTTTGTTCAACGCCTATTACAAAGTTGTGGCTACAAGTTTGATCCAAGATATGCTATGAACACCTTGCGCGCACATTGCCAGCAGCAACATAGGCGACAGCAAATTGGCTTGCGCAAACCATGTTCTGGTTTTACCCTCAATTTGACATAGGTCATGTTGCAAGACGTTCTGGAAATTTGTTTTACCATTTTGTCAGTTGGTGTTGCCTACAAAACCCAAGTTAAATACGGAAACAGAGGGCTATGGGTTTTTAAACAAGTTTTGTCATTTATTGTTGGCAATTTGCTCGAAATTTGTACACAACTGGTTATCGGGGTACGTGACTTTTCTGTTTTTCTTTTTGCGAAATATATAAATACTTATGTAAATGTCACAATTAAAATAGTTCTTGTGGTATAATAGTTTAGGAAAAAAACATCAAAGGACGCTAATAGCAAACTTTGCTCTACTAGTCTATTAAATTGAAAAAATTGTTTATTTTCTATGCCGTAACTTTTAAGCTAATCCGTGTAAACAAATCCAAATTTAATTATTCATAATTTGAAGTATAGAATAATAGGGGAGAACAAAAAATTGGTCATTATTGAAAGAACAAAGCATTAATTGTTTCCGCAGCTCCTTTTATTCACTTTCACTTGTTATTACTGTTTTATGTAGGTATGTACAGAAAACCGATGTTAATCAATCTCGATCGTAAGAGAAACACGAGCTAAAAGTACTGAATCATTTTGCAGACCAATCGTATCTTGGTAAATACTTCCTTTTAATATATAAGAGCATGTAAAAAGGCAAGGTAAATTCTTGTAAAGAAATATATCGTAGAAAAGTGTTTTGTGTATATATCTTCAGCAATTCAATTCCATATCTAGTCAGGTAATTGAAAAGCAAGACTAAAAACAGGTCCCATTTCCAAACTAAACCTGTACTGGAACTACCAATCTTTTGTTTCTCAATGATTACCTTTTTGCGTCGACGTATACGATTTACGATGAGAACGTCAAGTGCCAATTAAAACAACTTCTTTTGCTGAAATAATTTTTTCACGGAATAGTACTGTAAATACGAAAGATTCTTACGATAAGGATAACAATTAATTAGTGATAACTGCGACAAAAAATAATGCAGTTCCTCGAATATCGCAGATATAAGATTTATTTCCGTATAATAATTAGAAAATATAATTAAGCCGAGCTAAATTATGATGTCTGTTGATGTTGTGAAACGGATGTTAGAAGTAGTACTCGTAGTTTACATTCTTTTTTCATGGAACTCGTGCAAACGAGAAGTAGGTTTCTTGCTAATCATTACTCAACCGCTGACCTTTCCTACGAAATTCTTTACGATGGGAAAAATGACGTAGCAACCACTTCGATAAACGGAATATGCGAATGTTAAAGAAATGTGGCGAACATGCTATTTCATGTGCACGAAAAGCGAGTCGTCGCGGTTCTTTATCGATCCTATTATTCTTAATCGTGGATTGCGAGTTCGTAGAAAATATTGCAGTCTGTGATGCCAACAATGTACCACTATTCTCGTGTGAGGAACGTGAAAAAAGAAAATAAACTACTTTAACTACTATACGCCGACGCCCATCTGAGGATACATATGTACGGAAACTAGTTATTTCTTTTTCTGGGCCTTCTCTGCAGCCTTGGTGACCTTGCCCGTAGCATCCTTGAAAGTGACAGCCTTGATGACACCTACAGCCACCGTTTGACGCATGTCACGAACAGCAAAACGTCCCAAGGGTGGGAATTCTTGGAAAGCCTCAACACACATGGGCTTACTGGGGACGAGTGTGACGATGGCAGCATCTCCAGATTTTATGGCTTTTGGGTTTTCTTCAGTGGTCTTTCCGGTACGACGGTCGCACTTCTCTTTAATTTGAAGGAATTTACAAGCAATGTGAGCAGTGTGACAATCCAACACGGGAGTGTACCCATTGCTAATTTGACCTGGATGGTTTAGCACAATAACCTATACAGGAGATATATGTGATTAAACAAATATTCTTAAAAACTATTGTACAAAGAGAGAAAATTACAATACAAAGGGCACTCAGACACCTTCGACCATCAACAGATAAAGAAAATCTTCTGGTGGAAACCGCGAATGAAGTATGTAATTTCTCATCATTGTGCAATTGTGATTTACTAATAAAATTGATTAATAAAACCAACCGTTGTTAATATCCTTAAATGACCTACCTGTGCAGTAAAATCAGCCGCGCCTTTAGGTGGATTGTTCTTTGAATCACCAGCTACATAACCACGACGCAATTCTTTGACAGATACGTTCTTGACGTTAAAACCAACATTGTCACCAGGAACAGCCTCTTGCAAAGCTTCGTGGTGCATTTCAACGGATTTTACTTCAGTGGTAAGACCGGCAGGCGCAAATGTGACGACCATTCCTGGTTTCAGTAAACCAGTTTCAACACGACCCACTGGTACTGTTCCAATACCACCAATTTTGTATACATCCTGTAATTAGATAGTAAATATTCTTAATATTTGTTTTTTTAAATCAATAATTTTATTAAAGATTATCCGAATCAGACACATCTGACCATCAACAGGTTATAAAACCCTCCGGTGGAAACCGCGAATGAGTTATCAATACTATCATCATGAAAGACACATCCCACCTTAGTTTCATTGTATTTAGTAATAATTCTTACCTGAAGAGGAAGACGGAGAGCCTTGTCTGTAGGTCTTGAGGGTGGTAGGATGGCATCGAGAGCTTCGATAAGACATTTCCCTTCTCCCTTACCTTCTTTACGTTCAACAGCCCATCCCTTGAACCAAGGCATTTTGGAAGAAGATTCCAACATATTATCTCCATGCCAACCAGAGATTGGCACGAATGCAACAGCAGCAGGGTTGTAACCAATTTTCTTAATATAAGACGACACTTCCTTCTTTATTTCCTCAAATCGAGCTTCAGAGTATGGTGGTTCAGTAGAGTCCATCTTGTTAACACCAACAATCAGCTGCTTTACACCAAGAGTGAAAGCGAGCAGAGCATGTTCACGAGTTTGTCCATTCTTCGAAATACCAGCTTCGAATTCACCAGTACCAGCAGCAACAATTAATACAGCACAATCAGCTTGAGATGTACCAGTAATCATGTTTTTAATGAAATCTCTGTGTCCAGGAGCATCAATAATGGTAACATAGTATCTAGAAGTTTCAAATTTCCACAAGGCAATATCAATGGTGATACCACGTTCACGTTCTGCCTTCAATTTGTCCAATACCCAAGCATATTTGAAAGACCCTTTACCCATCTGAAAATTTCATTATATTATTTGTTTATTACTGAATCAATATAAACCGCATTAACACAGTATTTTACATACTATCTTAAAATCTAATTGAAGCTTTAATACATTCGCGACAGGCAATAGCTAGACAAAACGTTTAGCTAAATACCACATATTCAGTTAAAGACTTTGAATTGATGTAGGACTACATTGCCTGTATTCAGCTGAAGACTTTGAAATGACATAGGACTACGTCTCCAATCGCAAAAGTGTCAAGAATATTTCTCAGTGTATTAAATGCATTGCAAATACTTAAAGCTTACCTCCTGGGCTTCCTTCTCGAATTTCTCAATGGTACGTTTGTCAATACCACCACATTTGTAAATTAAATGACCAGTGGTAGTAGACTTGCCAGAGTCGACATGTCCAATGACGACAATGTTAATATGAATCTTCTCCTTACCCATTGTAAACTTTTAGTGAGACTGCTGGTTGCTACTGCAATAAAAAAAAAAAACTATCAAATATGCATAAAGCAGAACTTATTGAATTTATTAAATATAAAGCAGATTATTAAATTAAGGAGGTTATGTGCATGCAACACACATTAAAGACTCAGTATTTTAAACTGTATGAATATAGTAATGTTTAAAAGAATATGTAATTTTCTTCGAAACTGACGTGTATCAAAATTTCATAAATACGAAAATTCTTAATTTTTTTAAATTGTTTAAATGCAGCAGATGTCCAGTCTAACGTCCACGTGGCTATGTCTGAATATTCCAGAACGAAATTGGCAACCATTTTGTGGATGGCGACATCACTGCAACGTTGCCACGATTTCCCTGACGCTTACAATTGTGAATCAGTTGTAATATTTTCTAATAAAAAGAACTGTAATTAAAATTTACTCATGTAAAGCTTATATTACTATAAAATGTGTGTCGAACATGCTAGCGTATAACATTATCATGTATTATTTTTAGGTGAACAGAATAACAGAACATTTCTAACTACATTAAAATGATAGAATAAAAATAATGTTCATAGAGTAAAAGTTTATATATTACGAATCAAACATATTAATTAATTTTATACAACAAATTCACTACATTCTGAAATAAGTCCTACATGTACCATGAATATTGTTCAAATATTTTTACTTATTATTTTTAATGTCATATTCACTCCTTATCTTGTTCACTTTTACACAAAAATAATTGTTCCTCAAGTAACAAAAACAGATTGAGACAATATTTGGCTACACTGAAGATCGGCAAACGATCTCCATTGTCGGGAGTAAGTCGCCCCACAAGGTCGTCGTTCGTTGCATACGATTTCCAGCAGATTCATAATGCATGTTTGGATGCATCATGTACAAAAAGTAAACTAATTACAGCTCCATTTAAATTAAACGTTTAAAACTGTGCTTAATAACATCTTCATAAAATCGAAGAACGCACAAAAAGCATTTTCACAACGAATATCTCCAATGATGCACGAATCTCCAAATGACAAGCGACCGCCATACTGCATCCGGTTATTCGCTTTTTCCGAACATTTTAAACTTAAAAACCTAATTTAGTTCATCATTTATTTCCCTGCGCAAATGTTTTTATACAATAAACAATCAGGTACAAGATTTCACGCTTTTTAGAGACGATGCTGAACGACTTAAACGAAGTTCAGCATGTGGTCCGTGTTTAAACAGCCGGCTACTACGGTGATTGGCCATGCGCTTGTTTCCCAACACTGTAATTCACCGATAAAAATAATATTTCCGTAAAACTCTTGTCACAACACATTTCATCGATATTTCGGTCATTGTTCTAATCCATACCTGACGTTCGATGCTACCTACCCGGTAATAAAATCGACAGATTCTACTTCCGTACGAAAACCACGAAGAACCACTCACCTCCAGATGCCACGACAGAAAGAGATCGTCCAACTGAAGTGACATGCGCATAGGGCTTCTCTGCCGCAGCCTCGAACCCAGCGCCTCCATTATATTGATCACTTGTAAAAGAATGAACAGTTTCTTTGTATACTATTTATCATATTTCTTCCATCATTAGTATTTTAATAAACTAAAGCAACGATTATAGAATGTTCTTTCAATAGCATTTACAATAAATCGTTAATTTTAGTAAATACTGAAATTAAATCTCTACACAATATAACATTTTGGTTTCGAGGCTTTGGTTACGCAGCTCACAAGCGTGTCGGCGATCATATACATATATGTTATCAGAAAGGAAATGAGAGCTTCTCGCCCGGGAATTCGTTGTTCTTAGGCAAGTGCTGCACCAAGCGGCCAATTCTGGCATAATAGTAGGAATCTACCCGTTTTAGTTCCACGCTAAAACATAGATAGGGATGAATTGATATGTACAAGTAAACACGAGTACATTACTCGATACTTTTGCTTCGATACCGAGTACTTTTGGTATCGAATACATACGGTTGCGATACAAAGTAGGTATCGAAAAAAAGTACTCGTATCGAATGAAGTGAGTATCGACCCATCAACATTTGATATTATAATTACTTTCGGCATAAAAGAATGTTGTTTACATTAATAATTAAGCAATGTGTATTTAAATATTTTCAATATTAAAATAATATAGGTATATATGCTCTATGAGCAAACTGACGTCAGATGCACGGCATCTGATGTCATATTCGATCAGGCAGTACCTGAGATTCATATACATCTGTCGCTGCATTCTGAATGTATATGCCGTTCCGTCTATATGTCAGTGACTGTATATAATCCTGCTGCACTGATGCCAGAATCGTGGGATAACCGCGCGAATGCTTACCATCTCCATGCCTCCCGTGGGTATTTCACCAAGCATATTCTAGCCTGTCCGTGAGCTCTGCCCCACTACGTCCTACTCGGCGACTCCCCAAAACAAGCGTTTTCTACTTCTGGCTGTGTGTGCTCTTCTTCGGGTGCCTTGGTAAAAGTCCTACGTCACATGTTTATGATGAGACGGTCGAGTGGCCCAAGCAGGTCAAAACTCCCAAATCCCAAACAACCTAAAGTTTACGTCCTAAACGCCGAGAGCTGCATGATTTCTCTCATGCGCTCATGATGAAGACCCCTTCCGAAACCCTCTTGGAATCCCAATGCAACGGTTTTAATTTTTATTTTTAATTATTCTATAATTTCATTTTGTAATGTGTCAGTAAAATAAAAACTTCGAAGATATTGATTTAAGAAGCATTTAAAAAAAATGGGAGATATATTTATTCCTGTTCAATATCTAAATTTTATATTACACAAATAGATATTCTCACAATTAGATGTTATCTTTATTCTAACCATTGCAGTACATACATATGAAAACAATGGAAGAGAAATCCATTACATTAATATGTTACGTACATTAAAATGAAAGCTTGGAAGATATTAATTTGAGAAGCATTTTCAAAATTAGATTTGTTTGTTAAGCTGGTCCACGCATATACATTATTTTAGATTTGATGTCGGTGAGCATGGATAATATGCATGGAAACACAACACATCGTCTCTCTTTTTGTCCTCTAACTAATGCCACAAGTGTTTCGTCCTCAATATGGACTTTCTTTATTCACGGTATATTAATTTCTTTGGGCGGCAAAAATGCTTCTTTCAAAATCTGGGAAATTCCTAACAACCCCTTTTGAAATAATCGGACAATAATGTATTCGGCGCGTGTATAATTGCACCTAATTCAAAGTCCCTTTACGTTAAAATAGTTTTTAAGATGTCAATATCGTCCTACTTTCCGGTAATAAAGATATTTCCAAATTACGTGTTACAATGGGCCACTGTGCAGTCTCGTTATTACCTCTATTTACGATAGGGTTGCTCGCGTTTCGAGCGTACCTGCTCGCCTACGCGCTTCATTATCATATTCGGTGGTAGCAGCGCTCTGATGTCGGGGAACAACCTATATGCAAGTTTGTCCCGCTCGGATAAGTTGAAACAGTTGACCTTGCACGCGTACGTACAGAATTAACGTTTCCACCATTTTGTCCGGCCAATTTTCAAGTAATAATATAATTACAATTGTATGATAATCGCTTGTGCATGTATTTCTTCCGCGTGTATTTCCACCGCGTAATACTTTACATTTTCAGTAACGGATTGATTTTCATCACGACGAAAAAGATATGTTTTCAATAATATTTACAGTTTATTCTATACCATTACAATTATGATTATTATCTAATTCATGTGTTCATTTCTTTTCCGATATAGACTAGCAAAAGACCAGTCAGCATAGTATATGCATGGATTAATCCAAAAAAAAAGGTAAGTTTATAACAACCTTAATATTTCATCTTCCCATTATTTCTATTCAGATTTCCACTGTGTACTTATTTGTCTCCAGATGCAGAAAAGCAACGAACCATTCTACATCGCTTATGCGTGGACCAGCTTAACAAAAAAATCTAACAAAAAGCAGAGCGCACACGACAGAGGTAGAAAACGCTTGTGTTGGGGAGTCGTCGAGTAGGACGTAGTCGGACAGAGCTCACGGAGAGGCTAGAAATGCTTGTGTAAAATATCTACGGGAGGCATGGAGAGGGTAAGCGCTCGCGCGGTTATCCGGGTTATCCCATGATTCTGGCATCAGTGCTCTGCTGTATAACGTAACATCAGCTTCGCAGCAGAAACAGAGTAACTCTGCTGTAGAACGTAACGTCAGATTCACAGCATAAACAGAGTAACTCTGCTGTAGAACATGACGTCAGATTCGCTGTAGAAACAGAGCAAATCTTACGTTATAATCTGGCGGCTTCTGTAATTATTTCCATTTAAATTAGACAGGTGGAATTAAATACTTTTTATATTCCTCCAGAATATTTATTTTTTCTTGAATATGTACATTTACGATACAATTTCAACCATATTTACAATTTTTACAAAATAATATATATGTTATTATACATAATCACCACTAAGTTTGGTAAATGTGATGAATTCTTGAATATTTATCAAATTAAAATTAATTTATTATGTATTATTGCAAAAAATGTAAATATGTATCATTTAGCAGCGCAATATTTACATATACTTATTTCTTATTATAAGCGATAAAATAGGAGAAATATAAACGTCAGCAATACAGAAAAGTTAATATTTCATTGTTATTAATATTTATATGTATACATAGACATATATAGACGGAGCATGAACTGAGCGGGGGAGTAAGATTCGCGGCAAGGGGGTGGTTAGTTATAAATCAGGTAACTTCGTTCTTTTTCGGTGTTATTCGGGTATACAATCACGTTACATACATGTATGCTATGAGAGATGAAAAGAATATACTTATTATACGTTAAAAATTCCGTATGTCATGTAGTTTGTATAGATATATGTATTTAACAAAATTAATAAATAGTATAAAGCTATGAAGCATTAAATAATAGTACAGCACACAGCCCATCAGCCATTAATAACAAGCTAAATCGAACCGAATGCATCCGAAGCTAACCGACGTATATCTAACGACCGTTGTCTTTTCCTCTCTAATCCTACGGTCCCCTCGGCCAAAGTGGTAGCTTATGCTCCGTCTATGTTATGTATGTATATGTTATTAACAGAGAGGAAATGAGAGTGCTAACGCCCGGGGTTCGGTGTTCCCGGGCAAGTGCTGCCCCCCTGGTCCACATAAGTATGGACAAGAACCCCTGGTCTACATAAGCATGGAAAAGAACCCCTGGTCCACATAAGCATGGACAAGAACCCCTGGTCCACAAAGCATGGACAAGAACCCCTGGTCTACATTAGCATGTATCAGAACCACAAAATTTCGCGTCAGCAGAGCCCTCTACCATTCCGTGTCACAATCTATCGTATCAATTGAAATTGGTTTATCTGGTGTCATAGTCGGTCAAGCAGAACCTCAGACTCATATACATACATCTGTCGCTGCTAGAGATGGCGTCCAAAATCACTAACAGTGATCGCCGAATCACGATCACGGTCGTGATTTCACTTCATTCACGACCGTGATTGTGATTTTTTTATCTTGAATTTTCTCACTGTGATCGTAATTCTTGGTCTTCAAAAAAAGTTACATATTCAATGTCATTTGAAAATGAATTACATTATTATTACTATTATTTATTTAAAGTGTTTTTAAAAATCAGTAAAATCAAAGAAATTATAAAAGAATGATTTGCTATAATTATACTACGTATGTATTATGTAATCTATAGATTAGAATAAATGATAATAAAGGAATCTATAAATTCATGATTGTGTGTTTCTTTATTATATTCTCAACATTTAGTTTTAATGACAGTATTAATTATTATACAATATAATTACATTAATTATATACATATATGAATATTTATTTCAGTTTCACCGGCTATGAAATGGTCTAGATTAATAATTCTGTCTTATCTAAATTAATTCATTCATGCATTCATTAATTATATTAATCACATAATTATACATTATAATTATAATAGTTATTAATAATACCATAAATATTT